GTCCCAAACCCTTCTGGATTGAGGGATAGGGCTCAGCTGTACAGGCCTCAGTCCCAGTCAGGATTGCTGACTGGAGCCCCAGCAATCCCTGAAGAATTCCATGTTATAAACAGGGAGACCTGGGCTGTCAGTGCTTTCCACACTGCAAAACTCCTCGTGTTCCTTCCAGAACATCCCTGAGATTCCTGATGACCTGAAGCAGCTCTACAAGACCGTGTGGGAGATCTCCCAGAAAACCATCCTGAAGATGGCTGCAGACAGAGGGGCCTTCATCGACCAGAGCCAGTCCCTGAACATCCACATTGCTGAGCCCAACTACGGGAAGCTCACCAGCATGCACTTCTATGGCTGGAAACAGGTATGGGATTGGGGATCTTCATACACAGGGGGGTCAGCTGGGATTGGGGATCTTCCCCACACGAATGGGGATCAGCTGGGATTGGGGATCTTCATACACAGGGGGATCAGCTGGGATTGGGGATCTTCATACACAGGAGGATCAGCTGGGATTGGGGATCTTCATACACAGGGGGATCAGCTGGGATTGGGGATCTTCATACACAAATGGGGATCAGATGGGATTGGGGATCTTCATACACAGGGGGATCAGCTGGGATTGGGGATCTTCATACACAGGAGGATCAGCTGGGATTGGGGATCTTCCACACATGGGGCATTATCTCGGGCTGGGGTTTTGTTCCCAAAAACAAGGGCGTTACCTGTGATCAGAGGCTTGTTCCCAACACATGGGACCTGATAAGTTTGGTACCCAGGGACTGATAAATCCCGGCACAGCTGATCCCATGGATTCCAGGAAGGACAAAGGGCTGTTTCCTCCCTAGAACCCCGTTATCCCCTGGGTTATGTGCAGAGCTGGGGTGCCTGCACAGGCTCCCAGCCCCGAGGCCCCAGCCCTGAGGGTCCCAGCCCTGAGGGTCCCCCTGTCCCCAGGGCCTGAAGACTGGCATGTATTACCTGCGCACAAAGCCCGCTGCCAACCCCATCCAGTTCACCCTCAACAAGGAGAAGCTGCGGGACCGGGAGAAGGCCAGGGAGGAGGAGGAGAAGGAGAGGAACAAGGCAGCCATGGTGTGCTCCCTGGAGAACAGGGAGGAGTGCCTCATGTGTGGCTCCTAAGGGACAGCCCAGGGCTGCAGCAGAGCCGTCCCAGCTGGAGCTGCTGGGACAGGGGCGTCTGCAGCAACGGGAGGATGCTGGGGCTGGGAGGGAGGGGGGTGGTGTAGCTTCCCCATCCACAGGGGTGGGGCACATGCATAGGTGAGGATTGCTTTAGTGCCTGGGCTTGCAGGGAGTGCAGTGCTCTGGCACGGCCTTCCATGGAGCCCTGCAGGCAGGAGGGGGACGGGGAGGTGCTGGTGCCACTCACAGGTCTGTCCTTGACTGTCCCTGCAGTCACCAAAGGCTGCTCCTCGTGTTCCAGAGGAGGTGCACACCAGGCTGGTCCCTTTTCCTTGGCAGGGAATCCCCAGGGTCGCTGTATTCAGTGTCCAGCTGACACCTGCAGTGTCCCCACCCTGCCAGAGCCTCGTCCCTCTGCTGCTCCCTGTCCTCATCCCCTCTGGCCTTTCCAGAAAGCCTTTGGAAGGAGCAGATGGGTGGGAGGGGTGTTGCTTCCTGGGCTCTTCTCCCTCGGCTGCCAGGGCAGAGCCTGGCACTGGCTCAATGTCCTGCAATGGGGGCAGGAAGGGCAGAGCTGCTGCCGTGTTTTATTCTGCATTAAATTCATTCATTTAGTCTAATTGCTCAGGCAGTTTCCTGGCAGGGGGCCAGTGCTGTCCTTGGCCACAGGTCAGGTGCCACCCTGTGAGGGCCACATGCCACTGGTGAAGGTCTCCTGCCACCTCTTTTCAGAGAGCTCCGTTTTTCCACCCCAGGTGGAAAACCTCTTATTGATGTAGTGCTCCTGCACTCACTCCCTGCTGGAACTCACTGGGGCTTCAGGCAGTTCTGCAGTATTTATTGAACTACTGAACCACACCCCACCCTGAACCCAAACTCAATAAAACCTGGAATATCAAAGGAATGGGTGGTGCTGTCTTGGGAACGCTTCTTTTTGTGGTGAAAAACGAGCAGCCGTGGAACCAGGGTCGTGCTGCTGCTGCTGTGCTGCTTCCCACAGGGCCGTGGAGACATGGAGACACTGTCCCTCTGCACAGCAATGGCAGTGGGGACAGCCGGGGGTCGGGCTGTGCTCCAGAGCAGGGACAGGAGGAGAGGAAACGGCCTCAGCCTGGGCCCGGTTCTGTCCCAGCACTCGAATCCCGGTCCCGGTTCTGTCCCAGCACTCGAATCCCGGTCCCGGTTCTGTCCCAGCACTCGAATCCCAGTCCCGGTTCTGTCCCAGCACTCGAATCCCGGTCCCGCAGTTCCTCTCGGTGCCGCCGGGGGGCGCTGTTGGCGCGGCCGCAGCGGGACTGGGAGCATTGGGAGCGCGCCCCGCCCCCCCCGCGGGTGTCCCGGGTGTGTCCCCCAAATGTCCCCCAACCTTCCCTGACCTCCCCAAATGTCCCCCAACCCTTCCTTGACTTCCCCAAACCTTCCCAAATGTCCCCGAACCTTCCCTGACCTTCTCAAACCCTTCCCTGTCCTCCTCAGACCTTCCAAAATGTCCCCAAACCCTTCCCTGCCCTCCCCAAACCCCCCAGCCCTCCCCAGATGTCCCCAAACCCCCCAGGCCTCCCCAGATGTTCCCAAATCCCCCCAGCCCTCTCCAGATGTCCCCAGACCCCCCAGGCCGGAGCGGGGCTCTCTGTGGGTCCCTCCCCGCTCTCTTCGCCCACGTCCCGAGGCAGCGCCCGCTGCTCCCGGGGCAGCTCCGGCAGCGCTGCCCTGCTCCCGCTCGCCTCCCCGGCCAGGACACGGCTCCAGGGGTCCCTCGAGCTGGAATTTCTCTCCAGCCCCCCCCGTGTCCCCCCAGCTCCGATTGCCGCCGGGACACGGCTCTGGCACCGCAGGCCGGGCAGCGCTGCGGGGCACGGAGCGGGCAAGGGCTGGGCTACCATGGCACGTCCTCAGCGGAGCTGCTGGCCATGGGAACAGCGGGATGGGGACACGGGGAAACGGGACAGGGCAGGACAGGGGAAAGGGGACAGGGGTATGGGGGGACAGGGCAGGGAGAGTGGGGTGGGGCACTGGGGGGGACAGAGCAGGACAAGGAGAATGGGACAAGGGGCATGGAAGGGACAGGATGGACATTGGGGGACAAGACAGGGCGGGGGGGGGACAGATCAGGACAGGGGGACAGGAGAGGAGGGAGTGGGACAGGGGAACTGGGGAAATAGCACAGGACTGTGGGGACAGGATAGGGGCACTGGGGGACAGGACAGGGGCACTGGGGGATAGGATGGGCACTGTGGGGACAGGACAGGGGCGCTGTGGGGACAGGACGGGCACTGGGGGACAGGACAGGGGCACTGGGTCCTTGCTGGGACGTTCTGGGAGCTTTGTGCCCAGGCTCTGGAGTCACAGGGGCTGGCCCAGCTCGGGCAGGGGTTCCTGGCACGGGATTTGCTGTGCCTGGCGTGGGCTAAATGCTGAGGAGCTCCTGAGCCAGGAGCTCTTTGCAGGTTCCCCCAGGAAGTCCCCAGGTGTCCCCAGGGACCCCTCTCCAGGTTGCCCGTGGCCATCCAAGCAGCCAAGTGGCTCCAGCTGGCCAGGATGTGCCCGTTGGGCTGCACTGCTGCTCACCCAGCCACTCCTTCCCTCTTTTATTTCCCCAGGTAAGGGCTTTGGGAGGCTGGGAACAGCTCCGGGCAAAGGGGATTTTTAGCCTGGGGGTACAGAGGGAATGGAATGGAAATGGAATGGAATGGAATGGAATGGAATGGAATGGAATGGAATGGAATGGAATGGAATGCTCTTACCTGTCTCCTGGCTGAGCCTTTGGAATTACTGGCTCGGGGAAGATGCTGGTTTGGGTTTGTATGCTTGGAAGTGACAGGGAATGAAAATAAAATAAAAACAGGATTTAATGAAGACGTTTCTTCAATGTCTTCAGGAGAAACACTGAGAGGCTGGAGCATGACCAGGGCAGGGAATGGAGCTGGGAAGGGGCTGGAGAATTCCTGAGGGAGCTGGGAAGGGGCTGGAGCCCCAGGAGGGGCTGAGGGAGCTCAGGCCTTGGCAGGGGCTGCCCAGGGAGCTTTGGAGTGCCCATCCCTGNAGGGGCTGAGGGAGCTCAGGCCTTGGCAGGGGCTGCCCAGGGAGCTTTGGAGTGCCCATCCCTGCAGGTGGCACCTGGAGGTGGCACTCAGGGTGCCAAGGTGGCCATGGGGCACAGCTGGGACTGCAGGGGCTGGGAGGGCTTTGCCAGCCCCGGGGATTTGGGGATTCTGGGATCTGTGTCTGCATCTTTCTCCAGCAGCAAACACTGGAGGGAAAGGCTTGAAATTATTAGGTAAAGTATAATTTTTTTTTCCTGGATGTGACCATTTTTAGGCACTTAGAGGAACAGACTCAGGTTTATTACAGTTTATTGATCCCAAATGTGCTTCCAGCAGTGATTCCCAATCCAAGAACAATCCCACCCACCAGGCTTCTGGTACAAATCCACCTGGCACAGCAAGTGAGGAGCTGGAATGGGAATGAGAATGGGAAAATCTCCAGGTTTCAGGGAGCAGGTGGATCTTCAGAGAGCAGCAATGGTCCCAGCTGGAAGGGGCTCAGCTCTGCCACTGCTGCAAATCAGAGGGAACACTTCTGGAGAGAATTCCTTCTGCAGAATGAATAAACCACAGTAAATGAATACAAACACTGCACAAACATGGGGGGTTATCCACGGGCTCTGTCAGGACTAAAATCACCCAAATCCCTGGAAAAATCCTCAGGGCTGAACATGATCCTGCCTTTGCTGCAATTCCTGCCGTGGTGTGGAGACACACATGGAGCCTGGAGCTGCTGCAGTGCCTCAGGCAGCTTTTATCAGCCCAGCTCCTCCTCTGGACACAACTTCTCCATTTCATTCCTTCACATTCATTTGATCTTTTTTTTGAAGACTTTTTTTCCTTTCTAAAATGAAATCTCATCTATTCCCTATTTGTTTGTCAGGGGTAGATCCCAATCCAGCAGTGAATTGTGAGGATTTGGGGAGCAATGTGTGAGGTTTGAGTCAGGATGGTTTTGACATTTGTTATTCTTTCAAATGATTCCCTGGGAATTCTACCCAGCCCCTGCAGTCCCAGCCGTGCCCCATGGCCACCTTGGCACCCTGAGTGCCACCTCCAGGTGCCACCTGCAGGGATGGGCACTCCAAAGCTCCCTGGGCAGCCCCTGCCAAGGCCTGAGCTCCCTTTCCATGGGGAAATTCCTGCTGCTGTCCAAGCTGAGCCTGCCCTGGCCCAGCCTGAGGCCGTTCCCTCTCCTCCTGTCCCTGTTCCCTGGGAAGGTTCCCCTGGAGCCTCCTCCTCTCCTGGGCTCCATCCCCTTCCTCAGCTCCTTCCCCCTTCCCTGGACACTCTCAGCACACAAGAACCGTCCTGGTGCTTCCAGCCACTCCCATAATTGATAGTTACCATGAAGCCCCACAATTATCCCAAATGCTGCCCTGAAAAATGAACATTTGGAGAGGTGCCAGGCTCTGAACTCCCATGTTTATGATCACACCACGCAGGCGATGCTTCCTTTCACCAAGGGGGGACAATGAGAAGCAAATGACAAAAGCATTTGATTTTATGTGTGTGGTCTTCATCAAATTAGCAAAAAAAAAAAAAAAAAAAAAAAAAAAAGCTGGGTGGGCAGGGGGAGTTTGCAGGAGCATTAAAGAAATGGATTTTTAAAGGACCTTGAAAGAGGCTCGGTGAATGGGGGAGGTTTGCAGCCAGAGCAGGGCAGTGAGGAGCAGCTGCTCCAGCCCTGAACCTCTGGGAATCCCTGGGAAGGCTCCTGGCTGTGCAAACAGGATCAGTCCGGGAGTCCCAGCAGGGGCAGTGTCCCCACGCCGGGAATGTGTGACAGCATCCGGCCCGTGCCCCCCGGGCTTGGGGATTTTCCTTTCTTTGACAGGAGCAGTAGCTGGGGTTGGCACCTGCAGCAATTCCAGCTTCTCCTCCTCCCCTGAGGCTGCAGCGCTGGATTCCATGGTGCCCTCTGAAGATTCTTGCACAAGTGAGGAAGGTAGATACTGATGGATAATTTAAAAAAATAAGATGCTACAGGTGCTCTCTGTTCAAGGTCCTGCACAGCATTTCACTCTTAATCAACTCCACACGTGCCAGGGCTTCTCTTTGTCGAAATTAAACCCAATTAGTTCCCTTATTCCACATGCAGAAAATGTCTAATGAACGTGGGAGTGGCTCAGGTGCTGTAAAAACAAATGGAAGGTCAGGGTGGAGCAGCTTCTGGTAGTGAAATCCTCGTTTAAAAGGAGTGATGTTCCCACTGCTCTTTTCCTTGTCCTGCAGATCAAATTCCCAAACCAGCAGCAGCCACTCAGACCTTCCAGTGGTGCAGGTGAAGTGTCAACCTCACCACTCACTGAATAAAAATGAAATTAAACCAAGTTATTTCTTCCACAGGCTCCAGCCAAAAGCTCTTGAGCAGCTCTCCAGAAAAATCATGGCAGAGGAGAGGAGGATTTTTCCAGTTTCAAAGTACATGGAATATTTCACTGTTATCCCTTTTGTCATCTCATTAGGAGAAGCAAAGGCTTCCCCCTTTTCCAGTCTTCCATTTGCATTTATAATAACGTGTTGCCATGGCAAAATCTGATAATCCTGGGTGGAATCACATCCTTACAGGAGTACAAGGAGGGGAAAAATCCCCCCCAAAGTGGGTGCGTTGGGGTTTCCCAGGTCCCTGCATGCCCCAGGACATCCCAGGAGCTCTGGTGTGGGGCTGGAGCATCCCCCAGTGGGACACAGGACATGTCACAGA